AGTGCCAAGCAGCTCGGCAAGGTGGGGGGCAAAAATTTGGCTGCCGAGTTATCACTGCTGCTAATACAGAAGTAAGTTAGGAACTTCCCTTCGGTGGAGATAAATGGCTTTTACCTCTCTGGTGAGCACAAGCCCACACCGCAGAAAACACTGCGCAGGGCTCAGGCTGTTAGAAGAGGGTTTTGTCTGCTACCTCTCCTCATTGGGTGCAGTTTTAAGTGCGGGGTGATAGGGGCAGTGTGTTTGCCCCCTTTCTGCTCTGGTTCAATGTGTTGTGGTGGTGTTGTGTTTTTTTTTTTTTTCTAACTTTTTTTTTTTCCCCCTCCAGTTATTTATTCTATCAGATCCTGCAGCTTCTTTCTCTCCTGTCTCTTAACTGGTTTAAGTAAGAAATTGTACAAGCCCAAAATATCTCGTTCTTGACACTGCTGGTGAATGACAGAGCTGCAATAACACATTTTGGTTTGTCGTTTTCTAACGACTGAGTTATGTGCTGGTGCAGGTCAGAAAGAACAGTTTAAACTCCAAACACCCTTGGTGATTTTAAATACGTAATGACTAAAATGAATATTTCAGCACCAAAAAAAGACCCAAAATATTCAAGATACATCATTTTTTCATTAAGTAATTAAAAAAAAAAAAAGGAAACAAGCTACCTTTTCCACTGACTTCAAGTCCAAGATCGCCCCAGTCGCCCTGCAGCCACTTGCAAACATACTGAATGCAGTACTCTGTCTGGTAGCAAGATATTTATTTTGGGACTTCTTTAACCCATGTAGAAGCCAGTGAAGCAGAACAGTTCGACTGCCTGCTTAAGAAGATGCCATTTTACCTTTAGAAAAACCCTACCCAAAATACCAGCGACAGAGAAAAGCAGCCTTCAGAAGCCAAACAGAAGGTTGCTGGTCTTTTTACTCACAAAAAAAAAATAAAACACCCTTGACAGAGAAATGAACCAGTGCTGGGAAAACAGATCAAAAAAGGCAGTGATAGATCTGTAATTTTGATAAGATGTTCTCTACTGTGACTGGAAAAAAGCCCCATTGCTTTGAGTAAGTTTCTGTTCTTCTTCTGATCTATTATCAGGCTGAAGATTTTCCTTTTTATTATTAGTTTCATATACTTAATATAACACCTGCTCCTTGCAGTACTTATTTTTGACAGTTCTTAATTGCATAACCAACGAAACCACCAGGGAACAGCTCCAGAACTGCCAACAACAACAACCCAAAGCAAAAAGATTACGTAGGATGACTTGTCATACTTCCTGCAGCCTAAAAAAAAATTAAATAAATCAAGGGGGGAAAAAAAAACAAACCCAAGTACTGCAGTGCTTTCTTTAGGCATAATAGATAAATACTATTAAGTGTTACATTTAATTTTGTATTTTGGAGTTTATTTTATATTTTAAAATCTAAATTATAACAGTTTATTTAATATTACTAGGGGAATACCTTTTTATCATGCAAAAGGACTGCTCTTAAAGGAGGAAGTAACTTCTCCCCTACATCCCTGAACTGAAAACTTGAAAACTCAAGCAGTACCACAGGCAAAACCCATGACAGCTTGCTGTAACAACAGCACAAACAAACACGAGCCCTCCCGGCCACCTCACTAGTTGCTGTGCTTAGATGCACTGAAATTTTATGATTTCAGTCGTTGCTGAGCAGTGGCCTACGCAATGTCCTTGTCTGCTCTGGGAGCGGTCACAGATTCCACATGGCCAGTGTCTCCCCTCAAACAATAAATGTTGATCTTCAGCTCAAGAATTATCCATCCACCCACCTTCAGTTATTTCTAAACATATAACTCAATGGCCACCTTCAAGCTTTAATGGGGAAATAGTGAATTATCTTTAGACCTTGGTGATGACTATCTAGCCACAAGGAAAGTCCTCAGCTGCACTTTCAAGGGATTTGGGATAGGATAATGCAAATTTATTTTGGGAAGCATTTATTATATTTGCAGAAGCCTCAGGTACTGGACTAATTCTGAAAGGTCAGTCACCGGCAGGGAAAAATCACTGCTGGGGAAAGAGCATGTCCTGCACGGAGCAGAGGACCTGAGAGTCGCCTGTCCCACTGCTGTTGCAAGGGAGTAGGAAACACAGGAGCTACATCCCCACTTCATACTAACCCACAGCTGGTCAGAAGCAGGGACAAAATATCATTATAAGTTTCAAATGAAAAGATTACAAGTGGCAGAAAGCAATGTTAGCTTGTTTATGGAACAAAGCTGCCTGAGATCATAAGACCGGCCATACTGTATATATCAATAAGAAGGTCCATCTAATCCAGTAGTGACGTAGATGGTGACTCATACTGGAACATTAGAGTATAAGAAACAGGCAAAATTTTGAGTGCTTATTGCCCAGTTTTGAAGAAAATAACGTGAAAACTATACATAGGTAGCATACATTTATACATATAAAACATACCATTCTGTGATGGCAAACTAACCACATCATAACACAGCCTGGCATTTACAGGAATTGGGTACGTGGCCATCATGGAACTACTGCTCTTATTGATGGGCAAAATCTTATTCAAATGCTGCTCCCCAAGCAGGGACTTCCACTCAATCCAGAGTAATTCCGCCTCGGCGTAAGCAGGTGCCTTCTACTTCACCTGGTCCAGCTTAATACGTGGGTTCAACCAAACTGGGCTCATCAGAGGAGTCATGCATTCCCTCCTGTCCCTCACTGCTTGGGAACAGGATGGTGAGGACCATAACTCTAGACTTCACAGGTCACAGAGCATCCTTCCTTCTTTCATCTACTCATCTGCTTCGCCTTCCCTCGGCAAATCACCGTAAGGGTCCACTCATCAGATGTGAAAGGAATATGAAAGACCTCAGCATTTTCATCTAAACTCTGCACAGCACTCAGGTGTCTGCAGACTGCTTAGTGAAGCCAACAAAATTAAGTACCCCTTGACTGAATCCATCTCACTTTCTAGGCTCAAGGTACCCGTTTCATCAGTGGTGTTTTACAGTTGCAGCAGATTTGCTTCATTGCTGAGCAGAAAACGAGCACGCTATCTAAATTGCTTTTAAAAGATCAAGAGCTTTCCAAACCACCAACAGAATTCACACACCTTCCCTCCAACCACAGCACTACGTAGAAATGCGCTGCCAGAAATCATGCCTTTGAGGCTGCAGGTGATACTCTGACTTCCAGCTGCCAAGATGCTTCGTTAACTACTCCTTTCCTACAGGATTTCACTCCCTTTGGTTGCTAAATGCTTGTTTATGGCCACCAGGTATAAGACAGCTCCTCTTTAAGCACTATGTCATCATTTTTCCCCAATCAGCTATTCCCTTGTGTTGCAATCTTCCTAGTTATTAA